GGAGCCATAGTGCTGAATGCCTGGAGTGCACCAGGGTGGGGAGGGTTGTGCTTTGAATGCACCCCAAAACTGCAATTCAGTAGCTGTTTCCAAAATATTCTCATTCCTGTCACCTCAAATGTGTAGGCTTTGAGTCATACCTTTAACACCTGGGCTACCTGGTTCACCTCTGAATCCTTGCATTCCAGAAGGACCTACAAGAAAAGCAAGATCAGAAATAGTTATGCAGGTGCTAACTTAGTACATTTTTTGAAAGACAGAAAAGAAGTCATATTCTCATACACACACACAAGAATGGATGAGAGAGAGAGAGAGAGAATAATTTTATTTCTTTTTGTTGGTGTAGCTTTACTGCTAAGGGCTAGGCTGATGCAATGTGCAGATGCTGCCCAGTTACAAGACCATGCCTTACTGTACTTTACAATATGCTACACCATGAAGGCAAGAGACTCACCAGGAGGACCATGGGGACCTGGAGAACCCATCACACCTGGGAAAGGAAACGTTGCAATGTTTCAGAAACTTTGGGATCATGGGACTGAAATATGAGCACCTCATGGTGCAGACTACTACTCGGTTTGTATGCAAAAGAACTTATTTACCTTTAAGACCCGGGATACCTGGTGGGCCTGGAGGTCCTGGTTCTCCAACAGGACCTGCAGAGTAAAATGTAAGAGAATTCTATTAGATAATGGGTTGAAGCCCAATTCCTTCTGTATTGTTTCTGCATCATATTAAATGGGTCCCCTATGCAGTGCCACGGTTTGTTACTATGCAAAGTACTAGCAAGTAGGTGCATCTCTCCTTGATCCTAGAAATGGAATGCTGTTCCTTCACAAGGTTGCTAACTAGAGATTTTGTGGTCCGCAAGGCCCACGTGCAGGATAACTATTTAATTTATATCGGTAAATGACCCATAAAGTGACTAACAACAACAAAAAGTGCGAACCCCAAAAGGCAGGCAACCCTAGCCTCCCTCTGCAGAGAGTTCTCAGGAGCAGCCAGAAAGAAAGTCCTCTGTCACTAAGAAGCTCCAAGCACCCCCATGATGGTGGCGACGTTGAAAGAATGGCCTCCCCTAATGATCTGAAGCCTGGTTGGGCTCATAAGAAAGAAAGCAGTATTTCAGGTCGCCTGGCACCATGCTGTATAGGGTTTCATAGATTATAATCAGCACTTCGCATTATGCCAAGCAAGTGACAGGTGGCCAATGAAGCTGTTTTAACAAAGGGACGGCATGCTCCCCGGAGCTGGCTCAGGTCAACAATCTAGCCGCAGCATTCCAAACTAGCCAAAATTTCTGAACAGATTGCAAAGGCAGCCCCATGCCGAGCATGTTGCAGTGGTCCAATGGGATGTGTGACTGTGGCCCGATTAGGCTGTAAGGCCGTAGCTCTAAGTTAGGCAGTGCTGCAGATTGTGTTTTCAATAGTGTTTTCTAATTCCCTCTTTTCATAACTTCATCCCTTAAATCTGCCCATAAGCATACATTGGAAGGCACCCAGAACTCTACAGACAGATAAGGTATTGTTCTTCCTGCCACAAAACAAAACAAACAAAACAAAACAAAACAAAACAAAACAAAACACACCAGATGGCTTTCTTTTATTGGATCCCATTATTCATTTGAATGACTGAGTGTTGGCAGCCCACATCTGAGTATCTGAATGGGATAGTCTTGATTTCCAGCCTTGAGGGTACCCGTGATTAATGAATAATTAAAGAACAACAGGCAGTGCATTATTTGGAAACAAACTAATCAGTTTTGGCCACAAGGCCCAGATCTCTTGACATTTATGTCACTTAGACACATGCTGTCTCTGACATTCAGTTTATGTAGGACAAAGAGAATGTCAAAAGGCCTACTGAGGGCAGAGCAACATGCCCCAGAATTTTCTGCAATGTTCAGGGATATCTATCAGACACTCTTTGACAGACAAGTTGATGTGGAAGGTATTCTTAAACAGAGAATCTTTCATAGTCACTGATACTATCTTTGCAGAATCCTAGGGAAAAAAAACCCTTCTATTCAGAGGGAACCCTCCCACTCCCAATACCTTTGTAACTTCAAAGACATAGTCACATTATGTAGGAAAGTGGATCATAAATTCATTTCTTATCCTTTCACCTTTCTGTGCATTTCCAGGTATCCCAGGCTCCCCACGAGGTCCTTGCGGTCCCTCACGCCCTCTTTGCCCCATGGGACCCTCCATGCCAGTTTCACCTGTATAAAAAAAATCAGTAGCTCAGGAACCAGGTTTCAACATCGGACATGTTCTACATGTGTATGCCCATAAACATGCACCCTCAATGTAGCCTTCTAGGCTGCAAAGGTTATGCATCCCTGATATATAGAGGTAAAAGAGTTTGAACAGTCTGAAGTTTCCACAGTGGTCACATGTTCCCCTTTACAGAAGACAGTTCTCTACTGAAGGACTACTAGAAGACTATCCTCTAGTTTGAAGGAATCCTATTTGAAGGGTTATTTGTACTGTGTTTATTTATTGTATGTAAGCCGTCCCAAGGCTCATAAGAATGGGACAGCATACAAACAGTGTAAATAAATAAATAAATAAATAAATAAATAAATAAATAAATGGGCTGTCCACTCTAAGTCTGCTATATAAAACCATCAGAAGAAAAAGGCAGGATTTGAAGTCACATTAACAATGCCCAGATAGTAAACTGAGCAAGGCATACTTGCCTTTCACACTATTTTCAATTTGAACTCCATCACTTCTAAATTTCTGTCTATACCTATAAGGTGGCATGGCATTTTTTCAACTTGTTGTCCTCTTTTCTGATGCATTTCCTCCTTTCTGTAGATACTTAAGTGACCCTAGAAGTTTCCTCTGCTAAGCCAGTGAAACGACTGGCCAGTTCTGCTTACCCTTGCTGCCCTTCTGTCCATCAGGTCCAGGGTGACCTTTCGGACCTGGAGGACCTGTTAGAGAGAAAGTATATTAAAGAGAGCTTAGTTGTGCCATTTTCCATCACTCACATTTTCCGCATGTTTTGCTTTCTCTGTCTTCCTCTATGTTTTATTCAGGCACAAGGTTGTATAGCAGTACAGTGCAATTAGTGATGAAATGAGTCATCCTGTTGGACCTTTCTAATTTAATATCTCATAATCCTTGCTCTGAAAAAGCTGCAAAAATTGCTACAAAGTGCAGGAGAGGAGGATGTCAAAGGACCTGCCTACTTCCGTCAGCAAAGTCTCATGAACAATAAATGCCTCATGGAGAGCAGCTCCAAAACTCCAGAAGAGGCGTGGGTAGTCTACATTTGTAATGGTAGTTGTAATGCAGCCATATTTTCCATTGAAATGGAACCCTTCACATGCAATGTGGTGCTTGGAGCCAAGCAACATGAGCAGCCACGCACCCGGAACAAACGCCCAACAGAATTTTTCCTGAGGAAATAGCTTTCCCTTTCCAAGGGGGATATTTGGAGCACAGAAGGATGTGAGGTGGGGCAGGAAAGTGCTCAACCCTTTCTACTTCCCAGCCCCATGAAGATACAAACACTTATAGTATTTGCTCTCATTTAGAAACTCCTGTTGGAATATGCAGCTTTAGGGGTCATATGAACCAGAAATGCTATGAACAGGGGAAAAGGCGTAAGTACCAACTCCTCTGTGGCCCCACTTCACATGGCTCCTTCATAATGATATAATGATACATTTACATAAAAAATGCCGCCACCACTGGGGCAGAGAGAGGCAGGGAGATGTTGGATAACAGAAATTTGGGGGCCACATGGTTTGTACTACACGCCCACAAATTAGTCTGTTTCCCTTTGGTACAGGGGAGGACCATGAGACATTACAGGTATTAAAGCAAGATTCAATTTACTGTGCAGCAGCTACTGTGTCTGAAGTAGGAGTGATTTCATTGTGTCCTTTGCCTCAGGTGGCAAAATGTCTTGGGATGGCCCTAGCCTAAAATAGCAGAATTCTCCCTAGGAGATATCCAGAAAGGGCTCTTTCTGCCACCTTTCTGCATTAGCACCTTTGAAACCTACATGCAGGCATCAGCTTAAAAACAAAGGGGAACAAGTACACCGTCAGGTGAGCTGGGACGAAATTAACGCTGCAACCGCATGCATACTTCCCTGTGAGGAAGCCTCAAGTGAACATTGGGACTGAATTCTGAGAGAACCTGCATAGCATCGACCCATAAGATTAGAGCACATGTCATTTTAATGACTCTAGTACTGCTTGCTTTATGTGGGGACTTTAAGTCAATGGAAGTTAAAACCCTTTTTTTCTAAATTCTAACTTCAAGAAGGAACCATTTAGTTCTTGGGACAGACATAATAGTGTCCCAGACAGTTGGAAAGACCACATACAATTGGGTTTGGTATTGATTCTGCCTACCTGGTATGCCAGGGAACCCTTGCTCTCCTGCAGAAACAAAGAAACAGAGTTAGTGATGGAAATTGTCAATAGTGACTGTTGGTTCTTTCTCTTTCAACCAACTGGGGACTGCCATCCCTTCCAAAAGCCAAAGAGGAGCTTTATGCCTTTCCGCACATCACCACTGGTAAACTTTGTGACATGACTCTCTGCCTGTTCATGAGGTTTAGCAAACTGCCTCCTGGTGAATCAAAAATCCTGTTTGCATATTGCAAGAGCAGGAACTCTTCATCCCAAGAACATGAATGAGAAAGTGAATAAGGTCTCTCATGGAATTTAACAACTGACATATCCCACTAATTTGGAGGATTTTATCTTCAGTGTATATATTTCTTCTCTACTTAGATTTGTTAGTGTATTGTACCAAGCTAGCTCTCCAGTAAAATAGACTATAGAATTTCCTAACTTCATGTCATACTAAAATGGTTGGTATGACATATACCAATCTGCTTACCTCTTTTGTTTTAGGAATTGTTGTCTAATATCAAATATTAGATGACATGGGTGTTTAGATTACTGATTCTTATTTTTTCTCATTCTTTTAAATATGCCCAGTTAGAAATATCTGTAAAAGTTTATTGCCTCAACCTGGTTGTATCTGGTAGCTATTAAAGTTTCATTACATGCACATATTCGCATGTACATAAAGAAAAGGCATCCAAGATCCACACTTGGCAAACACGTTTGTGGAAGCTTTTGTGAAATTATTCTTGGTACTCCTGCCCAACTGTGTATTGGGAATGGTTTCCCTTCATGGACCACCATGACTATCTTTGCATTTTAGGTGCTTTGGGAAGAAACAAACTGATGATATCCCAAATATGTTGGTGCTGTGGAAATCTGAACTCACCCTTTGGTCCTTGTGGGCCCATATCACCTGAGCAGGGGGGGAAAAGCAGGAAAAGAAAGTCATGGGAAAGTTTGCTTGTTTCACTACTTCTCTCTAACTCCTCACACATAGCATGAATTTTCAGTTCATTAAAGGGAAAAGGCAGCTCATTAGTTGAGCTGGCTTATTCTCTATGTCACCTTCCTTTGTATGTTTTTTTGAAGAGAAGTATATTTTTCCTATGATTTCTCTTAATTTTAAGCAAAAATTACACCCATTGTATAAATTTACAACTTTTTGAAAATGGATTGAAATGGTTATCATGGCTTACCACAGAGAATCACAAGAATATATAGTATTTTAGGTTCCTTTAAGAATGACATTTCTTGGCCAAGAAATGTCATCTTTTGCTTTTCTTTTATTGTGAAAGAAATCATGACAGATACTCTTTCAGTTATAGGAGAACCATGAATGAACAATGAAAGAGATTTCTGTAGAATACTAAAAAAGAAATGTGCCAAATGGCTACCTTTTTGTCCTTGCAAATAACCTGTAAAAGAAAAGAGAATAATAATCAAATTTCCATTGTACAAACAATGCCAAGGTATTTCTGGTTTAATGCTATGGTAGAAGGCAGTGCAATTAAGTGGAAGAACAATGAATTCTGGAACCGATTCAGCAGTCATTCTTTGCCTACCTCCCTGCATTACACTGAGGTTGTATGAACATTTTATAGGATGCTTAAGAACAATGAATTGAAATGGCCTCCAGGGGGGAAGCTTTTAGGAACCAAATTTGCTCCTAACTGCTCTAGGATAATGTCTGCTGATATGGCAGCATTATTAAAGGGAAGAAGAATCTCAAATAACCCAGGGAATAAACACATCTCCTCTGATCTATATTCCTGAAAAACTCTAGAAATAAACTCATTGGTCTTGAGTAATGGAAACCAAAATGCAGCATGGGGCCTTGGATTAGACCTGAGAAACCTGGTGGTCAAAGGGGTTCCCTAGCACTTCCTTACCACCCTCAACCCAGGTTTTGGCCCCTTGTTCTACGCAGAGGTGGCCAGGCTTGTTCAACAGAAGAACCATGTACAGTAAATGTCAGATGTTGGAGAGATACAAGTAGGCACCTGTGGATGGCAGCAGTGGGCAGTGACTGGCAGGGAGCCACAAAATGAACTCCAGGAGGCACATACAGCTCCTGAGCCACCTCTGTTCTAATCTCTTGCTTGGAGATTATAGCTTCTCTAACCTAAGATGGGGCTCACCCATCCCAGAGCAGAAAGATATAGCCATATGCCCAAGGAGACAGAGAGTGCTTTTCTCTGTGTGGAGAGTTTGTTGCCTTTTAATTTCTCATTCTCTCTCTCTCTCTCTCTCTCTCTCTCTCTCTCTCTCTCTCTCTCTGTGCATATGCGCGCATGCATGTGTGAGTGAGTGACTGAGTGAGTGAGTGGGGCGGATGGTAAATAGGAGCCAGTGTGGTAAAAGGATTAGAATATTGGAATGAGGAGATCGGCTGTAGTCCCAATCAGTCATGAAGCTCACTGATGACTTTGGACAAGTCAAGACAACTCTCAACACAACCTATCTCATAGGGCTGTTGTGAGGATAAAATGGAAAGGAAGAGGATCATGTACACCACCTTGTGGCTCTATAGAGGAAAGGTGGAATACAAATTCAATAAACAAACAGGAGCCGGTGTGTGAGAGAGAGAATGAGAGAAGTATGGTGCAAGAATGGAGGAAAGGCTCAGAGAGTAACTGGCTTGTAACACGACCTTTTGTAGGCTGGAGCCTACATTAGATGGCACTGCTTTGTGTATCCAGTGGAGCAATCCAGTTTCTGTTGCAATAAAACTGAGAAGCCGTTAAGATACCACAGTGATTGAATAGTATTTTTATTGCCGTGACATCCTTATTCCCCCCCACTCCTACACACACACACACGCACACGCACGCACAGAGAATTTGCTAAGACTCCCCTGTGGCAGTGGGAGAGAAAATAACAGAGAGCTTGCAGCAGTACCAAAAAGAAAAAAAGAGGGTGGGTGGGAGGGACAGAAGCAAAGTTAAGCACAGTGGCTAAACCAGTACAAGTGAATGTGAGAAAATATCAAAAGCATAATACATCATAGAGGGAAATGACAATTTGTATTAGTTTATGCCAGCCCGAGAATCCCCGAGAATTGGAGAGTTTCTAATTCTGTGCAAAGGTTTACTAAACAAGCTGGTGTGGGAAGGATGGACCTAAATTCATTATCCAGTTACATGGCATAAATACAAATCTTTCCTTTGGAAAGGAAGAGAGGAATTAAGTTTAGGCTCAACTCTGCATTATTAAGCCTCTTTCCCCTAATGAGCAGTATTCCTACTTTGCTTGTTTCATTTGCTATGCACTTTTTCAAAACCCTTCATTTGTATCATGAAGGCAGTCTGACTGGACAGCTTTAAGAAAATTAAGACTTCAGTTAGAAAGTCTTTGTCCTGTTCTACTTAGAAGGAAGGGAAGAAGGCCAGTCACAGCAGTTAAGAACATTGCCTTGGGTTGACTCCAAAGCCCATGTCATCCAAGACTCCAGTGTTTCCCTCCACATTAACTGTGTTCTAGAAAATGCAACAGTAGCCCTGAGGAATTCAATAGACTTTCTGGCAAGTTCATAATTTAACTGCCAAATTTCATGGAATTTGGTGAACTTCTTACCTTTATTTATCTCCTTATCTAGCCTGTACTTCATTAACGCCCACAGCTTCTCTTCATTCAGATCATTTGGTCCTGCTTCAAGTCTGCTATATGTCCCCCCTTGGACATCTTTCTCATTGTTAAAGTACTGGAAGCTGCCTTGGGATTCAAGGTTCTCCACACGGGATCTTAGCCTCCTCACTTCCTCCGCTGAAAGGAGAGAGGGAAAAAAAACAAGAATTAAATTGTCCTTAGTCAAATCTACTTTCCTCTATTTGCCACCAAGAAATAACACATTAGTATCAGTATTATTACATTGCATTTATATACCACCTTTTTCCCTTTTGTGAGGAACCCAAAGCAACTTGCATAGTTCCCCAGCTCATTCTTATTCTCATGACTACAGCCATCTGAGGTAGGTTAGACTGAGTGACCAGCCCAAGTTTATCCAGTGAACTTTGTGAGGACTAGAAACCAGAGCCTCCATGTCCCCAGTATAATACTCTATTACACTACAGTGGTTCTATCTCTGCCTCTATCCTGCTTTCCTAAAACAATAATTTTATTGAATTATTGTTGTCAAATTGAGTGGTGGCAGATCTCTTAGAATCAACTTCTTTGAAAGACACGATCAGTCGGCATTTGTAAGCAAATACCTGCTCACATATTTATAACCACAGAGACATTTCTGCCAGGGGACCCTGCGTTATGATAATGTGACGAGCCAAGCAGCCCAGATTGCTCAGTCTTCTAGCTGTGCTGAGACTGTATAAATAACTTGAAAGGTTCTCATTCAGACAGGAGAGTTTCTTCTATTTCTCACTGGGGAAAAGATGACAGTCGAATCTCCTTTCTCTGTTTATTTTTGAAAAACTGTGCCTGGCCCTGAAAACAATTCTTAAACTTTCACCATAACACGTGGTTTACGCTTCCTAGCCATGGTTGCTTTGATTAGTCATTTGCAGGGGACACCTGGTCATTCTGTAGGTATAACCCAGCCCACTGCCTGTTCAGCCGGAATCTCTTACCCAGTGCAATAAGCCCAAACAGTAGGCCAAGGAGGAACAGCCAGGCCAGGAGCAAACCTAGAAGCCACTTCCACCAGCTACAACAGGAAGCACAAGGACACCAGGCTGGGGCCGCACCTGCCCCACCACATCCATCATCACCTCGAACTTCTGGAGTGAGCAGAGACAAGAAAAGTCAAGGCAGGTTAGACATTCAAGCATGACAGCAGCTTAGGCAACAGGGAATTCCAAAATACCCTAACAGGTGCTTATTCACCTTTTTTCAATTAAAAAGTAATAATTTCAAAGTCCCAAGTCTCAAAATTTTATTAATATCGTACCTGAGTAATTCAATATGGAATGGAAACTATTCTTAAAGCCTTCCAGGGAAGCAGAGAGCTTTTCTTGGCTGGAGGTATTTAAATCAAGGCTGGACGGCCACTCAGCAGAGATGCTTTAGTTGCATTCAACATGAGATTAGATTGGATAACCTCTCGGGTCCTTTGCAGTTCTGTACATTATATCTCCAGAAATTGTGATTCTACAACTTCTCCATACAGCACCACTTTGGCCTAATACCTCTTACATTTCGGATGTCTGTGCTTACATTCATCCTAATCCGCTTTCCATCACAGTGACCAGCTAAAAATAGTTATATTTTTTTCTCTTGAATCAAGGTTTAGCTTCCTTTAGTCTACCCTCTTGCATCAGGCATAGGATCTTTATTCCTCCAAATTTTCTCCACATTATCTTTATCTTTTTTAAAAATGTAGTATCCCAAACTTGGTAAGAAATGATGTCATATACCTATTAGGATCATGAGCTGTGGGTGGAATGTCCCAATTTAAATCTCAGCCCAGAAAGGGGTATTAAAAAAATCAAGCTTTTCCAAGATGATTCAGAGTTTCCTCTGGGGAAACTCTTTGACATCTAAATTAAGAACATTATTACTTAAGGCCACAACCTTATACACAGTCTCCTTGAACTCAATGGGATTTAATTCAGAGTAGATTTGTATCAGGTTGCACCATACATTAACTTCTTGCTTTTTCAACAAAAGGTCTGGTGGCACCTTATAAATAACACATTTATTCTGCTTTAAGCTCTGATGGACAGTATCGATGATGCACCATGCTAGACTAAATGTATCATTGTTGTATACCCTGCCCTTCTGCCTCTTGCTCCTTTTACAGATATTATTATGATGGTATTACATTCACACAATCCCTTTATTTAGTTGGGCTCATCTTGAAGGTTCTATAGGACTGTTGATTCTGCAGCAACAGACTAACTCTGCTTCCCACTGCAAACAGCTTACATTTTGCTTTCTTCTGCAAAATGGATTTGTTCAATTGTGCAATCACAAAACTGGACCAACCCAGACCCCGTGGTATCAGTGTTCTAATTTCTAAAAGTAAGAATGAGCTTGAATAAACACTGAGTAACGAACAATGGTGAACAATCATCAGGGAGATTTTGGGAAGAGATACTCTGAGCTCAGCCCATTTACATCACGCTGCTAAATGAGCTTTTTTGCAGCTCATGTTTAATGCAAAGAACCTCTCCAGTGCAATTCCCAACAGACTTTTCTATAGTGCCATATTCTTTGGATTGTAGCTGTTGGAAAGCAAGTAACCAGAGCCACATAAAGGAAGTGTGTGTATGGCAAAGTTACCCTTTATGAATAACTTCTTATTGTAAGGTATACATTTTACTGAACAATATTTGAAATATGTTATTTGCACTTCCCCACTAAGGAAAAACTACCCACCTGCATAGGTGGCTTTGTCCTTTGTAGAAACAGATTTTAGTCCTCCTATACAACAACAAGAACAAAGAAATAACTTCTGCATGCAGTCTCATTCTTTGTGCTAAGAGAAGTTTAAGCCAAAGCAGCTGCCAGTCCAAACAAGGGCCACAAAAATAGCTTCTTTAATAGTTTTATTGTTCAGTTACCTGAGACGCTGCTTTGCATTTTTCACCATCAAGGGGCAGGAAAAATATTGTAATAGTTAACATAATCTACAATAGCACTACAAAAAATGAATATGGAAACCCCAAAACAGGAAACTATACTTGCAAATAACCTTCAGATACATAACGTTGAAGAACTGTAGGGGCATTTCCCCTTGCAACAAGGAATAACTGTAAAAACCAAAGTCACAAAAAAAAAAAAAAATGTAGAGGAACTCTGAAGTAACAGTAGAAGTGAGGTGACCCAGAAGTGAAGTAGTCCTGAATAGCTCTTGGAAGATTTTAAAAGTAAGTGAAAACTTGCCCTTGATAAAAAGGGACTTGTCAGGAACAGGAATATTCTAATTGCTTCCTAGCCATGATTTATTTCTCCTGTGCAAAAGAGCAGGAGAGTGGGGAGAAAGGACCAATGCAGCTCTTTTATCATGTATACATTTCAGAAGTCAAAACTGGCAGGCAGCTCTGAGTATGTTTCCACAGTAAAGAGTCATGCACACAATTTTCAAACACGATAGTGCACACAAATGTACACAGTTATTTCTATGCCTATATAGGAAACATTTTTTCTATGAAGTAGTCCTACATTTCCACATCAAGGCAATGAATAAAAATATACCGTTTGATTCTGATTTCAGGTAGGAATCTCCAGTATAAGCAGCATTGGCCTGCTTGTCTTTCTTTAGGGTGTCTTCAGTATAACAGCCTGTGGAGGACCCAACAAAAACCTTGTTTGCTGCTAGCTTAACACAGACTTCATTCTCAGCTTGTGTTTCAAATCTTCCCTCGTTCTATTGGCATATAGTTAATATATACATTGAAGCAACCATCTGCATTAAATATGAATCCACTCTGCTGGGTTTACCAGCACACAAACACAGATCACCAACTGTTATGAATTTAAAAGCAATCTGTGGGACCCTGAGAGATGTTGTCAGCCCAAAACTTTCTTGGACAGCAAGGCTGAAATAGCTCTACACATGAATAACTGCTGCTGTTATCTTATCAGAAAGGCACAACGAGCAGAGATGTAACATGGAACAGCAGCCTGGAAGGACTATCCACATAACCACTTCGGCATGAGCAATAAATCATACAGTCTGCTTCCAAGTTCATGGCACATTGGTGATGTTTCTCCTTATTCAACCCACCGCTGCAAATGCTCAGAAATTGCACACAGCAGAGGATATGCATAGGTGTGAGCTGGTACATGCAAAATTGCCCAGCCCTCTTCTTAGGACTACTACACCATTGTGTGCAAAGGTCTTGTTGGCACAGCCAAATCAGACCTGTGCTAACTTCATCCTGGGGGCAGAAAGGTGTGTTATAAATAAAATTAAATTAAAAAAAACCTCGCACTCACACTGACTGGCAGCAGTGATGGTTAGGCAGGGAGCTACCATATGGTAGATAGCATCTACCTCATGGGATGGGGCTCAGTTAATGCAATAAAACCCTCAAAACAAACAAAACCCTCCATATATGCATATTCGAATCAGTTCCTATATTACCACAACGGCACAGGGACAGCATGCTAAACAATATTCTGCATGAAGGAGCCATGCTATTTTCCCATGTGTACATTGTTGGACTAGCCCAAAACTAGATCCTTGGGAAGCAGTGGCTTCTACACTGCTGTGGTAACATCTGAGTTGAGTCCAAGTGGTCAATTTGTGCATTAGGAGGAAGAGAAAGGAAACAAACCTCCGCTGAGCCCAGCGCTGGATGCACTGAAAACTTTCCCATTGTCCTTGGTCATGATCAACAGCTCCATCTCTTTTTTGGGAGTGACATTCTCTTTCTCTAGGAGCAGGAACTTGCAGTCTTTGCGCAGGAAGTCATCATGCTGAGATCCTGTGGTGGCGGCTGCTGGGGGACATGGAAATGGCGGAAGGTAAGGAAGGAGACAGTGGCAGCCTACGAAGTATGCACTACCCTACAAATGGGTCTGGTTCAAGACATTTTGCTTCTTGTAGTGACTTGCAAGATGGCGCCTCTCCTCATTCCATGTGTAAATCTCAAGCAGGCTGGCAGTGGAGCATGTTAGGGGGTTGCACAGCATTCTGAGAGCAGCATGGAGTCCTGTCCTCCATTAGTTTGTAACCAGTCCCTGCCCCAAAGTATCTGTTGCCTGAGACTCCCATCTCACTCTGCCTAAGGGTACAAGCAGCCCCGTCTAAAATGTTTTTTTCCAACCTCAAAATAGAGTTTGGAGATTTGAGGTCTAGTATTCCACATTTAGGGCATAGGATTAGACATATGCTCTGCTGAGCTGGGAGAATGCCAGATAGGCCACTGCCATGTCCCCTGTGCCAGCAGACTGCCCCAGGTAGCCAGAAGTAATGGCTGTGCTGGTAGATATTGGCCCTGGCTTATCTGGAGAAGGTTGATGAGGTCCTCAGGCTGGGTGCTTGTGTGCTAAGTCTGGCACCTGGTATTCTGGAACAATTCCACAGAGCTTTCTGGACTCTCTTGGGAGAGACTTCCTGGGGTCACATACTGGGGACATGGCCACATTGATGCTTATGTGTGCACTGAGGGAGGGAATGCTGCTATCTTGCACACAATCCCTAGTCCAGCTGAGATGAGTTGGCTTCTTCTGTTTCTAGGCGGTGTGGGACATACAGTCTCTGCCCTGAACTGTGGGCTGTGGCAGTGTTTCCAAAGATGCTGGCCTTTGGTGGACACTTGGTGGCATTCTAACATTTTTCTTCCTTCCACCTTCCAATCTCCTCGCACTGGATGATGGGGAACTTGGAAAATAATAGGAACTCCGTAATTGCCTTCAAAGGCCAATTGCAATCTTTCCCAAATGTATTGGACTACAATTCTCATCATCCCCCAGAAAGGGATGATGAGGATTGCAGACCAGCACTTTTGGTAGAGGATTTGGGAAAGATTGGCTATAGTGCATATCAGGCATGCAAATAGAAAATAGCTTTGTCTTTGATTTATTCAACAAGTCTTTGTCAATAATTTTTCTGTGAAGATAATCCAAACTCTGTGCCACACTACAGAGGCTATAGATATGGTTATGCAATAAGGTAGCGTGATGTAAATCAAAGCTTGCTACACTTCAAAGAAAACTGCTGCAGCACAGGCATTAGGGAGAAGATGAACTAGTTCTCCAACTGCCTTCAGATAATTTTATACTTAATTCCAAAATGCAAGAGCGGCATCTAGTGGATCATATGGTTGACAATGCCCATTGATAGGGCTGTCTTGCTGCTCAGCCATGTGGCTTAGCAGAAGGAGAAGCTGTTCCAGGCAGCATAATAAATGTTCAGCTTTACAGGAGAGGCGCATATTTTCTCCAGAGGAATTGTTCCCAGAGGTTTTTCCACAGCTGTCAGTGAGCCACCCAGAAGATCCCAAGGCAGCCTCACAATCGTCTTTAAAATGGTTGTTAGATGTTTGTTGCTGGGAAATCAGTGGATAGGGTCATCCCACTAGCACAAAGGATGCTGTGCCTTTAAGTCCCAAATATACCCGGCCGGGGTGTGGGGGTAGGATCTGAGCAAAGTTGCGCTTGCACAGCGGGTTGCAGATCTTAAGTTTAAAGGGCAGTTTGCCGGCACTTGTGCAACTGCTTGTGCAATGGGAAAAGGCAATGGAGCTTCCCTGGCAGAGCAGTTTCTGCTACTTATAGTATAGTGGCTTTAGGCTGGTATTTCCCCACCAGATAAAACTACTGTGATGATTTTGTGTCACAACGGAAGTTGCACAAATATTATGGTTGCCCATGAGCCAGCACACGGAACAATGCCATGGAGCAGCCTCCGTCTTTTTGAACATATGCCCAGTCTTAAGCGGTGTTCCCCTGTCTATCTTTTTCCTCATTCCATCCTAGGCCTTCTCTTCTCATGCACGACTGCTACAATATTAAACAAAACCCTCCATCTGTGGTGCTCTGTGTAGCATTTACAGGGACTGGATGGGTTGCCATGGGGAGGACAAGGCAGCGAAGTTCACTTATGCCACCCTAGTGGTTTGTACTTAAATATGGATCAAATCTGATGATTTAACCAAGACATAAAAGACTCTTCTATTCTGTCTGTCTTCACTCCTCTATGATAAACCAAGAAAGACAAACAAAACAAAACGCACACGTTCTGTCTGGCCCAGTCTGGTATCATCAGTCGGTTGATGACACACAGCTCTATGTCTCCTTGTCATTGTCCGAAGGCAAGGCTGTGGCTGAGCTGAAGTGGTGCCTGGCTGTGCCAATGGACTGGATGAGGGCTGACAAACTGAGAGACTGAAATGCTGTTGGTGGGTGGCTCCTTTTACACCTGTTCTAGGTGGGCTCACACTCCCCCTGAAGGAGCAGGGTCATAGCTTGGAGGTGCTCCTTGATTCACCTTTGCCACTTGAGGGTCAGGTGGCATCAGTGGCCTGGAGTGCTTTCCACCAGGTTCGGCTGGTGGCCCAGGCATGCCCCTTCCCAGACAGGTATAGCCTGGCTTCAGTAACCTACGCTATGCTAATTTCAAAGTGAGATTACTGCCATGCACTCTGCGTGGGGCAGCCCTTGAAGAAGGTTCAGAAGCTGCAGCTGGGGCAGAATGTGGCAGTCAGACGAATACCTGGAACCCACAGGTCAGAACATGTAACACTGCACTGGCTTCCTGATCCCAGTTCAAGGTGCTGGTTTTAACCTGCAAAGCCTTACATGACTTGGGACCACAATATTCCTTAGAACAGGTTTTGTAACCAAGATCAGCTCAGACGCCCCACTCAGCCTGGAGCCTTCCTCCAAGGGTCAACTCTGCAGGAAGTGTGGAGGTTAAGACAGCCCCCAGAGGCTTCAGCGGGATCCCCTTGTGTTTCACAGAGCCATTTTTTGCTCTTGTATATTTTTATCATCTATTTTTCGCTGTTTTAAACGTTTTATTTTCTTCTGATTTGATTATATTTTAAATTGTATTTTTATCAACTTTTTTTATGGAGTGTTGTAAACTGCCCAGCTTTAGCAGCTCCCTGTTTCAGCTGTGGGGCAGTATAGAGAGAGATAGACAGACAGACAGACAGACAGACAGACGGGAAATACACAATTTCTCAATTGCATGGCAAATATGTACTGCTACAGAGTGCATTCTACCAGTTCTGTAGAAATTCCATGACCTGTGAAAGGAGAGAAAGACTCACCAGTTGTAGATGAGGTAGACACTCCAGTGCTGGTCACACCAGAGCTCTGCATAGTATTTTTCTTTACTCCATATGCTGCTGCAAGAAAGGGAGAAAGGCAGGGGAAGAGAGAAGACATTTTCAACTCACAGTTGCTCAAAGCCAAAAGGCGCAATCAAGATACCTGCTTGCCCCAGCACTGGGAACACCAAACAAAATAGCAGAAAGCATATATTTCTAGGAAAAGGCTCTGAGAATGAACAAATGACCATCGATCCTTTTCTGAGATGTTGAAGGGTTTCACATTCATTAGCCCACTAATCATTCCAGCCACCTGCAAGGTTGTCAATATCACTGGGGGAGTCTGGTGCTACCAGCACAGCTCAGGCATGATGCTTGCTCTCCCTTCTCTGATAATCACGCCTGAGTGTTTGAGCAGGTCCAGTATGAGCCTGTCTTCTCACTCCCATTTTGGCCAGCTGCTCTTGCTCCTCGTCTTATTTCTCTGTGTTGCTCCCATTGGCTTGCTCGACAGGCAGAGAGCCAGGCAGCAAGTGGGTGGTGGTACCTACTGCCCCTTCTCGTCATCACTATTGTCTGGGCCAAAGTGAGAGGTAGGGGAACATGCAGGTTGCAATGGTGAAAAGGACAAGCAACTCCATGGGGCATTTTTCAGGGGGCCCTTGCTGGGGTGGGGGCCCCCAGTAGGTGCCCAACCATGCTTCCCCTTAATGCAGGCCCTTTCAAGTCAGACCATCTATACATCTAGCTCAGTACGCTCTATACCAGCGGTGTAGACCTGGGGCCCAAGCCTGGCCTTCCAGGGGTCCTTCAAGGCTCCCCATGCTCCCATTCCCCTGCTCCCACCCCCTGTTCACTGAACACCAATCTTCTGGTTGTTTCCTGGCCTTTGCGCAGTGTTTTCTCTGCTCTAAAAAGGGGAGTGCCTCTCCTAAAGTGCAATGCCTGGCACTAAGAGCTGTAAACATGGTATTTTTGGCCCACACCCACCCCTGGAATGCAGCCCCTGAGAGCTTCTCCAAAGCGAATTTCTTCCTTTGGATGAAAGAGTTTCAAAAAACCCTGACTGAAACTAATGAACAGTTCCTCTCCAAGGTTTCTCACAAGCTCTTCTCAGATCCTGGGACACCAAAGATAGAACCTGAGTCCTTTGGCATGGGACGCATGGGTCTTCTCATGATCTACCAGGCTTCCATCTGCTGCTAATCAATCCAGACTTGATTGAATTTAGTGAATACACACGACGGGAAACTGGCTACAGAATAGGCCTACTGGGGGGCTGCCCATGCCTAACAATCCAGGTGGTATAGAAATAAAGATAAACAAGGAACAATTTTCTGTACTTGTCCATTTGTAATGTATTTCCTAAGGCCCATGTTGTGCCACCAAAGATGGAGCAGAACTTAGGTAGCTTCATAAAAACTTACCTGTAGAGGCTGTGTTTACATTGTTGCCAACACCAAGAGTAGCTGGGGCCAGGTTGTTTTGAACCCCAAATACTGCAGAGAAAAAATTCCTGGGATAAGGAGCAAGTTTATGAAAGCAACACAGCCAGTGACCCTTCTCCACTTTGGGAAGTATGGTGTAAAATTAATAATCTCTAGACACTGAAAACCTCCCCAGCATCCTAGCACTACAGCCTATTAACTAAACTGGCTCACCATATGTTCGCTTAAGTATATGTTTTGTATGCTTTTTAATTACTCTCTCACAAGTGCATGAATGTTTGTAATATCTCAAGCTGGAATCAGTTCATATTAAGGAGAAATATCTTGAGAGTTATTAGTGGAGTTCTAAGGTTAAAGAGGGTGAATTTTTGACTTCTTGATGTCCTGACTGTGTTTCTAGGATAATTGCTCATACATTACAACAGAGCAAGATCAAGCTTTGGTATCCTGGCTTAGGTGAAGGGTGACCTTTCTGCCAGCCGGGCTCTGAAGAGCCTTTGCAAAGCAGGGGAATAACCCCTGTCTTGTAGGGTCGTTCAAGCTTGGACAACAGGATGGTAGAATTTTCCCAGTCTTGTCCTGGCTAGAAGAAAAGTGGGGAAATTTCCAGCACTGGTGCCCAGTCTTATGGCTCCCCTGCAACACCTTGCTGCAGGCAGGCCCAACTCATATTGATATAGTGTTTCTATCAGTTTCTATCAGTTTCTATCAGTTTCCTAATTTAAGGCCTTGGGAAGACTATGTTGTCAAACTGCGGCTCAGAGACAGATCTGCCCACCTCGAAAATGCGATACCTGCAGGGGTGCCTCACCCAGCACAATCTACCCAGACACTATAATCAACACCCAAGTCCTTCTTTGGTGCCAACTCTGTGAGGCTACTTCAAAGGCCTTTCTTACTGACAGCGCTTCAATGGTGGAATCCTTTCCCCACTGAAGCCTGCCTGGTCCCAGGTTAAAAAGGCCCTCTGTGTTGAGGCCTTTAAAAACATGCAAGGATGTCTAAGAGCATGAGGAGAGTACCCATCCCACGTGTTTTACAAATCTAACCTGTACTGTATGTTGTTTTAGGTATTTGTCATTCATTTTCAAATTTTGTGTTTCAAATTTTATGGTGCTGTATTGCATTGTGTTTTGCTGCTGTAAACTGCCCAGATCTAGAAATGTATAGACGTGACATAAATCAACATCATATTAAACAAAAAAATAAACCATCCTTTTCTCTATGGGTGCAGAACCCACTGAACATATACTTCTGTATTTGCAAAGGCAGATTTCAAGGAATCCCACTGGAAGAAACTGAATTTCTCTATGTGTAACTGCTCTCTGATAGCAATCAATTCCAGTCCTTTCCCTTGAATGCTGCTTGGAAAGGAGGGGAAACATACCTGTAGAAGAAGTACTGAGACCAGCATTGAGACTGGGGTTGCTGGGTGCCAAGTTGTTTGTAACTCCGAACACTGTACAAGAAGATATAAGAAAAGGAATAATGTTGGCAACATAGAAAAGAAGGAAACGTTGTAATATATCTGGGCACAGCTATAGCTTCCTGTAGCTGACTGATCAGTAAAGACCAGAAAAGACACAAAGATAATGAAATGAGCTGCAATACCTCCCCTTTCACACTAACACCACAAGCAGTTGTTTATTTGGTCACTTCACAACTTGTCTCTTGCTGTTATTCCATGCACTTTGTGGCACTGATGCTATTCAAAGTAAGGCGAACATTTCCCACACTGATTTCTCTTCAGTCAGTTGGGTTACACAGTAGAGAAAAATGTACCCTATAGCTCATCCCAGCTATCATCCTGAAACTCCAAGATAACTTCAACACCACTCAGGAAATTTGCCTTGGGGGAAAATTCCTTCCCGGGGTGATCAGCTAGAGCTTGAGGAAGCAACTTGGGAAACTAATATGCACACATCTCCTTCTGCTTAGCACATAAATGACTTCTTGTATCAATAATTACAAGCACAACCACTCATTCCATGATTCCATGATGCTGCCTCTACACAGCATCACTCAACAGGTGCAATCACTAAGGATACAAAGGAGAAGAGGAGGACCTTGTGAGCTGCCTTGGATTCCTTGCAAGAAGAAAAAAGTGGGATATAGATGCAACAACGACATAAATAATCCTAAGCCTGCTTAGGCAGAAAGGAGCCCTACAGCTGATATCTCTAACTGGGGAATGCTGGCATTTGTATGCACGTGTTCCCTCTCATCACACATGCAGTGGCACCTTAGGGCAAACCTGTGGGCATTTAGTCCAAATGACACAGGGCCCTGTGAGGCTGCTGCAGTGAACACGCACCTGATCCAGTAGAGTGGGCTGCTGTGTTGATCAAAGATGAACTTTGGGTCATGTTGTTGTGGTAGCCGCCGAGAGATGACCCTGCAGGCAGGGTGGAGGACCACATGTACGGTGGGAGGGCAGCATTCAAGATGGTTGTGTCGTACGTCCCTGACACTGGGGCAAAATCAGAGAGCAACATCCATCATCAAAAGGTTAAGATTTTTTAATAATTGGAACAGTCTTCTCCAACCCAGTGCCCTCCAGGTACAAATTTTACCTTCCCCCAGTGAACATGGCTGTTGGTAATGTTGGTTAGGGATGATTGCAAATATAATCTGACCTTTCTGGTAGGCACTGAATTAGAGGACACCTTTTCTTTCTTTCCTCTCACCTGAACCACACAGAATAAAATTAGGACACATGTGATGTGCCTTTAATCACCACCAACAACTATTTCTAGTCCTCATAGTTATGGAGAAAAGCCTGAATGTGTGTTGGAAAGAGAGATGGCAGAAGGAGGATTGAGAGTTATGGCTAGCTCTCTGGGTGTTAGATTCACAATTGTCCAACAATACTATTCAATAAAAACTCCCTCCTCCCCAAAAAGAAAAAAAAAAAGAATTACACTGTTGAAGAAAAAAATGCCCAGGGAAAACCAAGGGTGCATTTTTGTGTGAGGAAGACTCAGGCAAGACTGGTCCAAAACTCTTGTACTTTTTAAAGACTGAAACTGTTGTGTTTCACCCCACCTTTTGTATACTAAAAGAATCCAGGGATCAGCATTGATCCTCTCTGCAATCTTGTTTTGTTCCAGAAAGAACAAACTGCATTTGTAGTCTCTGCTACTTTCTACATTCTTCTGTGACCTCATAGACTAGAAATATGGTAGACTCCCCAGTGTCTCAGGTGCTTCTACAGCAGGATCTGAGCAATGTCTGATGATTTGGGCACTACATTGCCCCCTGAACCCGCCCACACCACTGGTCCCAAAATTGCTGTGCCACCCTGAACACCTGCAAAACCATTTTTAAAGCAGAGAGCGTGTTGAACATACAGCTTGTTTTAAAGGCAAGGCACACTTTCAGAAAACTTGGAAGGATTTGCTTTGCCCTTAAAAGAAGGAACACAACCATTTAATGTGTTTTGTGGTTGGGGCCCCTCATGTTGAGCACCTCTATAGACTTCAGGCAATGAGGTACCTGACTGAGTGCTCTCTGTCACCATCTTGGTTTCCACAACAGCTTTCTTAGGTATAGGGAGAGTGTTGGATGAAGACCGTGTTGGGCTGGCACTAGCAGACCGACTTCCTCGAAGCAGTCGCTTAACATCATCTAGTTCTGTCCCTGAAAAAGAAAAGGGACATGGGGGAACTGAAGTCCAAAAACAATTTCCAAATGCAAACTGTGGCTGAAAGGACTAGAAAATGCCCCTCGAAAACTTCACATGAAAAAGTCCATTGCAAAACTTGGAGAAATGCAGATATTGAAGGTTAACTGAGTTTTGGTTCACATCATTGCTTGAAAGTGCAAAATCAGGCACATTTATTTACTTAGCATAACATTATTTCTTTACATCATAACATCTTACATAGTAAGATTTATCAGTTTTATATTTATATAAAATATTTATATCTTTACATCAGATTATCATTTATATCTTTACATCAGATGTATATTTTTACATCATAAAAAAATTGATGCATCTGATCAGAATGGAGAACTCTGTCAATCACAGTGGGGTTTTTTCCATTTCTAATTTTTCCAAATTTTAATTCAATTCCTCTCTTACTTTGAATTGAAAAAAGCTTGCATAAAAAGTTTTGAGTATTTTGTGTGCATTTTTTAATATACACTTTCCAAGCAATTTTTCTAATATCATGATTTTTAATGTTATTTTCACTAATACTTTTGTGCACTTTTTAACTGGAAAACTCCATGGCAAAATTTGGAGAAGTGTAACTTTTCATGGTTAGCTATGTTTCAGTCTACACTGTGGTTTGAAGGTGCGAAATCAGGTAAATTCACATTAAAATGTGAACTGAACAAAATTCCTCTCTTGTGTGTAACGTAGCATAAACAATGCTGAGAAGCAGAAGCCTTCTTACAGTTTTGGCTGTTCCATTTCCAAACTAGATGTGCTTCCAGGAGATGGCTTCAAGCACTGCCCAACAAAGGACATTGTGTAGCTATTCTATTTTCTCCTTCCTCACTCAATTTTGTGGGCTCAAGATGGACAAAACAATTGAAATAGAAGGATTATGAATTACAGACATTATTTGGATTCCCCATAAATTCTACAAATGAGGCCCAAAAAAGACAATACTTTAAAACCACATCTAGGAGCTATACCTTTTCAAATATTTCACTCCAGTGTAGGCACAGTGCACCCAATCCAGACCTTAAAAAATCACTCCAAGGTCTCAATCTAGATTGAGGCCCCACATCTATGAAAAAGATGCAAGATATTGATTTAAAATAATACTTGTTTTGGCCCTCATCAGACTGGGCAAGTGTACAACAAAAGTTTTACCTGGAAGCATTCCACAACTTTTTCTCCAACTCAGTGCAAACCACATGCCATTTAGAAGTTGGATTATAGTGATCTCCATTTCTACCCATGTTTGTGTTTTTCCATCTAGTTACTAGCTCATAGTTTAGGAAAACATTTTATGACATCAGGAAAAATTACTACAAAACGGTCAGATGAAGAGGTAACTGCTGAACTCATGGTTTATTCATCTGTAAGGTTTAGCTGCCTTTGCTCAAATGCACAAAACACAGTGAAAACACGTACACCTGGTTGATGGAGAAGCACTCTGCAGCCTCACTCGGATTTCACTCTCTGCAAGACAAAAGGAAGCAAAGGCTTACTGTAAAGTGCAAGATGCATTCACAACTTGATGCCCTGGACATGCCTTAACTGAGGAAGATGTATTGCTCTTAGCTGGTACCTTGACTTGAGGTTTGTTTTTTTGCTAGCATTCAGGTATACCAAATTGTGATGGAGACAGCATAAATCATTGCTACTTTGAGATGGCTTGCTAAATTGTCTGCTTTAATGATTTACTCCAATGGTGTCAGAGGCCTTTATAAAATTGGACTGTGCTTACAGTCCTAGTCCTCCTATCCATTCTATTCTTCTTTCTGCATCATGGGAATAGAGGAAGTTTCATTCTACCAAGTGAGAGGATTGGTCTATCAAGCCCAGTATTGGCAACACTGACTGACCACTGCTTTCCAGGGTTCCAAAGAGTTCTTCCTGTCTTCCAGTCTGAAGCTGCTGGGGATTGAATCTGGGATCTTCTGCATTCAAGATTTGTGCTTTCCCACTGAGTCATCACCCCTTCTTACTGCTTATCTTTCACATCTGAGCCATCCCCTGGGAACCAGTAAGTGTACCTCTTGGGAGGTGAATGTTCAGGGTTGGCCCAGCTGAACAAACAACCCAAGCAGTTGCCTCGGCCAAGAATATTTTAGTAAGGATAAATGAATTTCCTCCATTACTGCGTTCCATGGTTTTACACTGCACTTTGTTCTCTACCTGCCTTGGAGAATGTATAAAAGTAATTTTGGAATTGACACACACTCAGTTTGCTGTATTTTTTTCCTTAAAAGTTTACCAGTGTATGCCAGCGCATATGCACATCAGTACTGGCATACACTGAGTAAATCATACAATTTTCTCATGATACATTTTTGGACTGTGGTTTGATCAATGCACATGGGCCATTGTTGTGTTGTTGAACCACAGGATAATATGGAGGTACAAGGTGATTCAAAGATCACCGAAACTCCAAATGTTATAAATAAGAAAAACTTGATTTTGCCTGAAATAACCAGCAGCAATCGAGGTAGCTAAGATCATAAGATCCAAGATCTTAGAAGCCAAACCAGCAGAGAGATGTTGGAGATTGATGTGTGTTCCTTATTATTACAGGACTTTTTCTCTCCATGCCATTATCTCCATATAAATAACTGCCTCTCACAACGTGATTGCCCTCATGGGAAACCTTATGACTGCTTCAAAAAAGCAGAGTGAGAGCAGGGAAGAAATCTTATCACAAATCCCCAGTGTCTTGTCTAGTTGCCTTTAAATCCATGTGCCAAAAATGGGCTTTGCACATGAGCTTTCAAAATAGCAACCTGCAATAACTCATAGCAGCTCCTTAAAACAAAACAAAACAAAACAACCCAAGCACCTTCTCAAAAGGAGCTTGTGAATCATCATGGAGTTTCCATTCCAACAAACAAACAAACAAACAAACCCCACTTGACATGCCCACATACCCTTCGCCATGACTTCTAAATAAACCCATGAAATACCTGCAAAATGCTCACATTCAACCTTACCTCGGGTTTGGCTTCTCCCCCTGGTAGCAGAGGAACCTGTGCAAAATAAAAGAAATATTACTTGACATTTGATTTGACTGAAAAATAAAGTGAAGTTCTCCAAATCTGCAGTAATATTGCTTGCTAAGGACAGCTCCTGGCACTTTCAGTGAAAAGGTGTACAGCTATTGCATCTTTCCCTCCTTTAATGGATTTTTTGAAGTAAGAAAAAAGTAGGAAGATGTGGTAGAAAAAAAATGGAAGGTTAGAAAAGGAAGCTAATGACTGTGTCTGCAACCTGCAGTGAAGTTTTGTGATCGCACAATGAAAACCTTATTATCTTCTTATATATGTATATTCAAGGATACATATGCATAGTTCACCTTAGATTTCCAGCAAGGGCTTCTAGAAATTGGCCACTGACCTTAATTTTGGTTTTCAAAACTATTTAATTGTAAAATAAAAGTGGTCACACTCTAACTCTATACAGTCTTTTGAAATGGTTTTGTGGTAAATGTGATAAATTCATGTTGGATACTTCTCAGCATTTTTTTAAATAGAGTTCATTCAAATTTTATTTGTGAAGTTACATCCAAGTGGTTCAGCACAAGCTGCTTGACTTTGTGTTGAGTTGAGTCTGGGCATACTGTGTCTTTCCCTTAGACAAGAATGCAACCTGCCAAGTATATAGAAGATACTCAATACTTTGGCAGGTTATATCTTGTCTAAGGGAAAAGACAAGCTTTCCTGAGTAAGGAAAGCTTACCCTAAGCTGACACCCACCAGAAATACATGCCATGTTTCTATTCAAAGGCATTCTTTCAGAAGTAATTATTAGCAAGGGTGTACCCTCAAACTGCAGTTTCAAATTAGGAACAATGATCTGTTTTGTTGTACTGGTGGAATGTTGCCAAGAGAAGTTGGAATGTTGTATTCATGGAGTCTTCACATGCAAAATAGCAGATGGTGTGAGTGGAATTTATTTAGGTATGCTCGCCAGAAGTATTTTTATGAACAGTTGGGTTCAGTGGTGTTGCCTTCACCTTAGTCATCTTCCATTACTTTAACCCCCTATTTTCCCTCTCTGGTGGGGGTCAGGGAAGCTAAGATAGCCTATTCTGCCCATTACTTTTCCTGTGCATTATCATCCATTCAATACGAATAGTGAAATGCCTATGACACCAGACATAAGAGGTTGAGATGTGATTGTACCAAAACTTCAGGACTTCGCTTTCTTTTTTTTCCTTCTGTGCTTTCCTCCCTCATGTAGTAAGGAAGAATTAAAAGCCAAGCAGACGCTCCAAAAGCATCAGAAGTTTGGTACTTCCAATGATATGGATGAGACTTATTTAGACCACTGAGCTTCCGTTCTCTCACACACCTCCCCTTGTCTGAGGACCTGATCCTCAAGAATTTCACACCACACTAGTACAGCTGGGAATAGGAAGCAACACCAGCATTTCTACAACTCTGTGGTAAATAGTTTCTAGATTTACTTTGGGCTTTCTGGTTCTACCATTAAGAAGAAAGAGGCCGCTGCTTCAGGCAGATGATTTTGAGTGCCATGAAAGGGCAACACATTGATGGTTATTTCATTTATTGCTATTGTATTCCATTGACAGATACTCTGGGATACTCTGCTCATGTGCCAAAGCAATGTAAGTCACTCCTTGCTTTGGTGGGGGTCTCATTTCCTGCTCCAACTCAGGTGGCAAAATGTCTTGAACAAGCCCAGGGATGGGACTGAAACACCCACCTTGAAACATGGGATGAATGGAGAGGAGTTGTGCCCATGCAGGATTTTTGCAGATGAGGCACCTCTGCTTTAGACGCTAATATGACAGTTTTGCATCCCTACTCCTTATCCACTAAAGCAACTAGAAAAGCATTTAAAAAATTAAAAGGTTCCTGCATCGTAATGAAACATGACACTTAAGTATGCAGATCTATGTCATGGGCATAATTTATTCTAGTGGAAGAAAAGGGTGATTCTTGACATTTAATAGGCACATACCCTTAAGCTGGCCTTCAAGTAATAATAGAAACATACCAAAATCTTTTCTTGGAATCTCCGGAGATGAATTTGCACTGGAGCTCCCTGCAGAAGAAAGAGAAGATTTCATTTGAAAATTTTACTACATTTTTATCTGGAAAGAGATAGTCCAATATACTGTATCAGAATCATACCACACCACGGCATTTGGTGCTTCATTTTAGATGCAAATTGTGCCTCAAGTGCATATGAAGAAGTATTGATCAAAATCCAAAAGTGATCAAAAGTGGGAAATCAGTTATCTCATACCATAATTCCAAATGGCTGGAAAGATCATAAATGCATGAATCAGCACCCTTTTCTATAATTTTTTGGTTCTGTATGAGTACAAGAAGCCATTGCAAAAACAGATGGGCCTCGAACAGCTGGGATCTAGGTACTGCAATGGGCACGTACACACTGGGAGGTTCCTAGGACAGTTGGAATGATCAGCCAGTATAATGCTAACTCCATATTTCCTTGATACTCTGATACCTTCATATGTTGCATGGTGGGTGGCATAGGTTTTTCGTTCAAAGGTTGAGCCAGGTGATTTGGGAAGAGTAGAACAAGGAGAGGTGGCTTGCTTGTAGGAGGAAGAGGAATTCATTCTAGCATTTCCACCTATAGATGAAACAAAACCTCCTCAGATATATGTAAAATGGACTGGACTGTTGGGAAGGACAGAGTTTTGCTTTAATTGCTTGACCACAAAAGGCCCACAGATAAGCCATAAAGTCTAACTCTGTCTTGAAGACATGGACTGAGTCTGCTAAGTCCAGAAGGACGACCTTAGACATCTGTCACTGAAGTGACCATTTTTTGCCAGCAGTAGATCTGGAGACAGTGGTCTCATCCTCAAAGGTGGGAGAGGTCCAAAGTTTGTTGAATTGGTATTTATATTTTGGCTCATATATACAGTAAGTATAACCAGCAAAATATTGAATACAATATTCCAGTCAAAATATCTGAAAATACTTATAAGCCCTTAGTCAAAATGATCTCTGACAAGACAATTTAAGATGGCAAACATGTTGTCAAGCCACTTTAGTCCCAGTGGCTCCCTTGGAATGAAATCAGTTTATATGCAAGCATCATAGCCTGCGGATTCCATATTAACACAAAAACAAGATAATCCTGAGTAGTTAAATGTAAGCTTTTTGATTGTTTGTTTCTGTCAATTTAAAATGTAATATATAGCCTTCTTTCCAATAGGAGTACATCTCACAAAACTCAATGAGACTTGTCTGAAAATGTGAATAGGATCAGGCAGTTGGACAGCTAATTTTTTTTCATAGAGATACCTTTCTCCTTCTCTTTCTTGGGACTTTTAGTGCTCTCCCATCCAGGAGTTGGATTGGGTTTACACTTTCTTAGCTTCACTGTAGTAGCCCAAAGCAACTCATACATTCTATCCACCACTCTAGTCTTAAAAAGAAGGGAAAGCTACTAAGAATAATCACCATTTTGATAGACGAAAATAACAACTGGAAATAGCCAAAAAACACATCATCTGGGTCTTCAGCCATTCTTTTATGGGGACCACTGCCTATTTGCGCCCACTGCTTCAATAGTCTCTGCTGTCTCATGGGCTGGTGAGAAATTCAGGTTGCAAGGAGACTGAATGGGCAATGGCTCACTTCTGCTTCAGTGTTCGAGACACAGCAAAACACAAACCATGTTTGAAATAATGTGGTTAATAGGTGGTTTTCTGAAAGAACTGGCCAATATATAATTTTCTGCCTTTGGATTTTTGTCAGAGCTCCAAACAGAAGTCTGGCTGTGATCTAATAAGCTTCAGTCATAGGAATAATCCGTGGATGCCAGCCTCCGATTTATGAAAAGAGAATGTGCTCTTTGTAATCTCAGCAGAGGGCTATTCTAGTACACTTGCCTGTGGTTCTGAGGCTGATATCATTGTTCAGTGGCTTTCCCATTAAACTGTTCTGAGAACAGTGGACTTTTGTCAGGAAACTTTTGCTTCCTTCACCATCCCCAATTTTAAAGCTGACTGGCCAAGCATAGAATTAGACAAACTGAAGAAGCTCCAGCTCTTTTAATGCTGCTGCAAGTTTTGTGCATTCAGAGAGCAATCCTGTGACCCCTGGGCTAGCAACCCTGGACCACAGGATTGTTTGGATTCTTTTTTCAGAATCTGGCTGCAACTTCACAGGGGGAAGGGAGGTGTTGTTCTGGTGGGGAGGAGACTGGAGAAGCCTGGATATAAGTTATTCTGAGCCTCCAACCCTCTCCTTCCAAAACACCCTAGCTAACTAAGCGAAGAAGCCTGCCTAGCGGAATCTGCCATTTCTTCAGCCGTGTCCTGGAAGACTGGACACTTCCAGAGTATCTGGCCTTAGAAGAACTTTGCAGGCAGAAGGTTTGATGATGTTCCTTGACATCGTGTGGGGTTTGCTTTGTGTAGGCTACATCATAAAGTAAATATAAAAAAGACTTGTTCACACTGCACATAAAACAGTATGGATTTGCTACTGCACGAGGCAGTGATGGCTACTAATCTGGACGGATGTGAAAGGGGATGGAGAAAATCAAGGAAGACGGCCATCCGTGGCTGCTACGCAATGGGTGGGTTCCTGTGAGCACCCAAGTCCACCAGATGTTGTTTGAGCACGGTGGGCTGCAGGGCATGCCGGGGGCTATTGTGAAAATTCGAGCCGCAGCAGGCAGTCTCTTCGGCTTATCATGCTGTCCAAATCCAGTGAGGTGGATTGTTGGCATGGTTACTAAAGCTCCCAGGATTCACGGGCT